TTATGTTTCTCAATAAGTTGTTTTGCAGCAATGTTTTTAATTTTATTTTACTTACTTATCTAATTTTGCTTTTTACAATTAAAATATTTCTTTTTTTACATGTATATAAAAATTTAAATTACAAACCCGCATATGCGCGGATCCTTAATCTAGTAATTAATAATATAAAATTCAAGTTCATTTTAAGATAAGAACATGAAAATTTACAAAAAGCACAAGTGTTTGATTGTAAAAAAAATCTCTTCGTATTGTCTTGTAAGCAAGCAAGCATATTACATACTTCAACCCTTATTTGTGTGTGTGACCGATTTGGAACTTTTGAGGGGTCGATCCTAGCCATGATTAAGATAACAAAAATAAACTTAATAATAACCTAAATTAGATTTTGCATCGATTTTGCAATTCTCTTACTCAACATAATGCATGTCTCATATATTAACAATGGTGATACAAAAGAGATGGATTTTTTTTGTTGTCAGAAGGTCGTTTTTCCATTCATACTTATCCCGACGTTACACTCAAGAGATTTCAATCTCGAGATGGATAGGATCACTATTTAACTATGGAAATAAAAAGTAGTATTTTGGTCGGTTACAGTCCATAATGTATATCTTTACGTAAAATACATGCATATATATACCTCATGTTTTTTTGTGGCCGCAAGCCTTTGCTGTTACGAAATTGGTTATAGTGTAATTTATACATTAATCTGAGTGCTTTTTAATAATACTAAGTGTGTATACATAATTGTGGATGTTTGTATGTAGGAAAATTCAAACTTCGTAACCATATTATATATGCTCTGGGCATTTGACTGAAGGCGTTAACCTCTTAATTATCCTTTAATTAGGTATTTAATAAGCCTTTTACAGACTTTATATGAATCTAATGAACTTTTGATATAATCTACGATATAATCCAAACGGTTAGTGTGGATTATTAAGGCCCCCAAGTTATCACTAAATAACTAATTATTTAATAGAAGAAAAAAACACCACATATGTTATTCAAAAGGTGTGATATAATGTATATCCGAAAGGGTAAACAACTCCTCGACCTTCCAACACTACTAGTTGTCACGTTGTAATAAATATGTAAATTAGTTATTTGTTTTTTTCTTACTTTTAATCCGAATTTTGTTATTTAAGTTGAAACGTTTAACGAATTTAAAATTAAAGGAGAAGTGGTGCAAAAAATAAAATGAGCAGGTAAGTACAACACCGTGAATGTATCGTAGGCCTAGGTCGAGGTGCATGCCACCATACACTGGAACTTGGATATTTCTACTAAAATAATACAAAACTTTATCAAGTGATATAAATAATAATATGGTAATGATAACTCATACGCTATCTTCCAAACACAGAAACTGAATGATTTTGTCACTTACCAATTATTCTAGGACCTTCATTGTTGGGAGTCAATTCAATTGCAGTGGTTTTGGTTGGATATATTGTTGGGTGCCCGAACCAGGCCCCATTTAGTCATCCCCATTTTGCATTTTAATGAGTTTTAAGGTTTCAGTAATACTCATGATCACAAATCATTATTATTTCTTTTTGATGAAATTTTTTTATACTCCCTCGTCTCGTTTTTATCTTGTAGCGATGTAAATGGCTTACTAGATAAGGTCTCACTGCTACATGATCAACTCCTCCCCCCCAAAAAAAGCGCTTTAAGGAAAAAAACTTCATAACTACAAGGAATTTTTAAATGAGGCTACATATTGTATGTTTTTACAAGGGATGTGAAACCAAGCAAATGTAATTGTATTAATTCTTGCTTTAATGTTGTACGTGGATGTTATGAACTTCTGATCTCCAAGTAGAAGAGTAGCCAAATGAGAGTTTAGATCTTGGAATTTTCGAAACCAACAATTGAGGAGTGTAGATATGAACAGAGAACGTCTAAACATTGCAAATATCTTCTTTCTAAAAAAAAAAGCATTGCAAATGTCTTTTTCTTTGTCAGAGGAATGGTATTTGGATGTCTGAAACCAATAATTAATGATAATGTACTTAATACATAAATCACTCTTACTAAATAGAGTTAAGTTAGTGACATTTCAATATTTACGATTATTCTTGGTTAATCATATAAATAAGCAAATTTATATTCCATGGTATGTACATTTTCAAGCACCACTTACCATTTACATTTAAGACCAGTTGATTCTTTGTCATGGTTGACTTGAGAGTGAAGGGGCAAGGTGACCTAATAACTATCTAACAAGATCAGTCTGCAAAAACAACAGTAACTTAAAAATATTCAAAGGAATCCAAATGAGCTACGATCGCAACACGTGTACGGTGGAGAATAGGGAGAGCCCTTAGATTCTCTTTATAAAGATGGGACCCACTCGTCGGAACGGAACAAAACGGGAAACGTAGAGAAAAATGGTTGGGCCACCGTGCTTCACCAAGAAGCC